TTGCTAGTTCCTCTAATCCACATCTCAGCAGCCGAGAATCTCTGTAATCAAACGGACAATAATGATTTTGTGTCAGAGGTTCTTACATCTCTCGGCATGATTGCTTACACCGTAGATTGTGTAGGTGAGGGTCATTTGATGCTTCTCTTAATATACGAAGGGTGGCTCCTGGTTTGTTCACATGGTTTACATTGATCAATGACCTGTTGACTTCGCTTGATCCAGTACAAGCTCCGACAGCTAGGCGAGGTGAGAAGTCAGTAATGCAGGTATTGCGCTACTATTTACTGTGATAACGAGTATCCTTTTCAGTGGAATCCCCCATTCCTCTGTAACTTTTAACTTTAGCAAAGTGAACAGTGCGAAGTGCAAGTTTGCTTGCTTATACATCCAATTAGTACCTACTTGTCTATTTTATTTACCGAAATTGTTTGCAATAATAACTAGGTATAACACACTGTAGATGCCAAACCACACCAAGTCGCTAAGTACAAAATTTTTGGTCATAACATCATAACCTAAAACAATTTAAATGACATTCATTTGAAGTACACTGATCACCCTGGCGCCATCTATGGATTGAGTTTACCTAGCGCCGCATTTGGCGTCAAATTTTACAGGTATAAGCGCGCCTACCAGTCTCTATATATCTTGTGAATAATATTAATAACTCAATGGTTCCAAAATAGCGAGCTCCTTGAAAACAAAACATGAAAATGTTAATTATCGTGACAATCATTCTCGCCAGTATTTTTCTGTTAGCTTATTCATAAGTTAGTAATGGACCTCGATAGTGAGAACGAAAATAATGAACTCGTGGCCGTGGGTACACCTCCTGAGGTTATGCACCAGGCAGAAGAAGTGTGATCAAATTTATTGCCCGAAAAGTCTCGAACGAAGTACCAACACGTATATGGAAAGTTTATGGAATGGAGACGTCAAAAAAAGGTATCATCTTTATCTGAAAATGTTCTTCTTGTATACTTCGAAGAGTTATCTAAAAAGTATTCTTCCTCTTCACTGTGGACATTCTATTCGATGTTACGATACATTAAATCTTCATAATGGTGTGGAAATTGATAAATATCCCAAACTACATACTTTCCTTAAACGTAAATCAGATGGACATCTTAAGAAGAAATCTAAAATCTTCAGCCCCGAGGAGATAAATGCATTTTTGAATAATGCACCTGACGAAGTATATCTTGCAACAAAGGTTTCCGACGTTTCTTAGTACGGTTCTTAGTTTAATCCAGGGTTTAATCGTATTTTTAGGTTGCATTGATAATGGGTTTAATGGGTGCATGTCGAGCCTGTTAGTTAAGTGACCTGAAAGTCGAGGATATTAAAGATTTTGAAGGGGGAGTTATTATCAGAATACCTAAAACTAAAATTGTCCGAACGTTTACAGTTACGGGTCAATTCTTTGATATATACAAGAAATATGCGAAATTGCGCCCACCTACCGTTCAATCCCCCTTCTTTTTTTTAAATTTCCAAAAGGGAAAATGCACAAGCCAAAAAATTGGAATTAACAAATTTGAGAAAATGCCCAAAGATATTGCTACCTTTTTGAGACTTACGAACACTGATTTATACACCGGTCACTGTTTCCGAAGAACATCCGCAACAATCCTAATTGATGCTGGTGGAGATATCATGGCTTTGAAACGACACGGTGGCTGGAAGTCAACAGCCGTAGCCGAAGGATACGTTGATACTTCCTTGACAAATAAGTTGGATACCGCTAAAAAAATTTCAAGCTCTGGTGATTTCTACTTCCAATATCGCTCCACAACCTGCAGCATCATCATCCGGAACATCTTGTAGTACTAACGTATTAAATTCAAATGCACATTTTGAGACCCATGCTCAAACCAACTTGCAACCGAATTCTATAACATTTGTTAATTACAGTACCATGACAGTTAATTTTTCAAGATCTACCACAGAACTTACTCCGCCATAATTCGACGTTAATAAGAAATCTTCTTAGTTTTCATTTCAGTTATTTTTGCTTATTTATTTGTAATGTAAATGCTAATAAAATATTAATCTAATTGAAGTAATAGTCGTAGATAAAGTATAGTATTACACTCGCATGTTATGGCTCTTATTCACTCGGTTTACTTGCTCCACTCGCTTGCAAGATCGCTCGCGTCGCAAACGTCAACTTCGTGAATAATAAGCGTCATAACATGCTCGTATAATAATATACTAATAATAATAAACTAAACGGTCTAAATAGCTAGTTTTGGTATTCGGAGAGAAATTTCTTAGTAAAGTAGAACCCGAGGTAGAACCTCTTACGCATCGCTCCTTGTTTATCGAACGCTGCTGACTATCCTTCCCTCTCCGTCTCACTCGCGACTCCCGACTCGGCGAGGTCGGTAGGGTTTTACTTAAATGGCCGTAACTTTTTTATTATGAAAAATTCACGGTAATGTTATAGAAAATAAAATAATCACAATGCTTTGGAGCATCGAATGAGCTATTAATATTGGAAATCGATATCGTGAAATATAAAGTTATGAGAGTTCAAAGTGCGCACTTTTCATCTGCTACACGAATTTTGGAAGTTGACGGTCATTTTTCTAAAAACTGTGCATAACAAGGTAGGTAAATATGAATGCTTTAGATTCTGCTATAAATGTACTTTCATTTTACAAAAGGAATTATTGATGTATATCGCTTAGTTGCTGAGAAAATAAATACTTTCGGTGGTCTAGTCGCGCGCGCGAAAATGAGTAAAGTTCAACTTTAGCGGCCTATAACTTTTGTCAGGACCACGGGAAAATGTCGTAAAGCGAGATTCTGAAGGTTCAAACATTTCTGAACAAAATGGTGTGGGTCCCAATTCTTTCTACTCCGAAAAAATTTTTTGAACGATTTCGCGGCTCTCTCCGCTGCACTAAAATGGTTTTGATCATTTTTTCTGATCCATTTTTATAGGCTTTCATTTTCGTACATATTGGGTAATATAAGAAAATTAGATACAGTGCCAAATGGACACCTAGGTCTCCTATTGTGTTTGCCGGTACGTGTATGAGTGGAGAAGGGAGCGATTTTGAACAACCCTTACTACTATAATAATTTGTCTGTGTCAGTTTAATTCTCAAATTTGACTTAATTTTTCGGGAAGCAATCTCAATTTCTCAATCTCAGCGTCAATAAAAAAAATCTTAACAGGATTTGTTTTCGGTCTTGTGTCAGTTATCGGTATTGGTAGTGCATTTATGTGTTTTGTTTGTACTTTATAAAAAGAGAAGAGTAGTAGCAGATTACGTATAGAGCAATAATTAAATACATACTTCAGTTCGTTAAATTACGATAGATATAGTTCATATGCCTACTCCAGTTGGAGGAGAAACACAAAAAGCCGAGAAGTATATTTTTAGTTCGTCCGTTTTCAATCTTGGGCTAGAGTCCAGCAGACATCCCCTTGGCTTTTTCTACTGGATTTCAAGAAATCTTTACAGATAAGAAATCAAAAGGAAGAAAAGTTTAGAAGAAAATTGAGAATGTGACGCTGTAGTAGGCCCTGAGTGAGGTGCCGAGGCGCCTTTAAATGAATGAGAAGATACAATTTATTTGGCCTGTCTGTTTTGTTTGCTTATTTTATTAGAAGAACCTACGACAAAAATTTCCATTAAATGACTTCACAAATAAGGAATTTTACTGCGCATGCGTGGTTTTAGAGGGAAATTATCTATAACTGGCGACTTGTCGATAATAATTGCAACCCCGGCGGGGTTATAAAAAATCTCCACACTGGAATAGGTAAACGAAAAATCGTACATTTCATTTCTGCTAACATACGCTAATTTTTTTTGGAATTTGTTCGATGAGTTGATTGATAAACACTGATATAAATTAACTTCGCATCAGCAGACATTAAATTCGTCTTTCACAATAATATTTAGCCGTAGCCGGTTTGGGGTGATTCACTTTACACTTCGAAAGAAAGACGGTTGAATTCGTGCCATTTGATATTTTAACGAAAAAAATTTTTGCAAACTATGGGAAAGCGTGCGCGGATGCAAGCCATCATGAATCACATCTCAAATGAAAGAAAGTAGCTAACGGCCTCAACGTGTCACAGTAGTAGCATTGTCTATTCATTGGTAGTAGTTAGTGGCACCTAGGTATGGCAATAGTGAGTGCGAGTGATTCACCACGTGTGTTGACCTTAATTAATAATTAAACAGTCAAATCAATTCTAAAGGTCCCAATTTCAAATACACGACAGATTGTAGAATGTAGATAATACCAAATACATGAATATGGAGGCCATCCAGCTGACTGTCACAGGGTTGCCAAGTTCAATCAGATTAACAGACTGTTTTGGTATTGTTTAAATATTACTTAATGTAGGTGCTAGAGGTTAACTAAAATAACGAAAAAAATCTTAAATAGATCTTGAAATTTTAATAATAATAATATATATTACGAGCTTTGCAAAACAAAATAATACTTGCACTAGTCAAAACAACAAACATCAATACATTAAAGATAACTACATCTAATTAATACTTAATTAAGGTAGGTATAGTAATCTTAAGGAATTCCTCAACAGAGTAGAAAGCCTTTTCCTTAAGAAATTTCTTAACCTTCAGTTTAAAACTTGAGAATGCTAACCCTTTAACTTCATTTGGCAGGTGTTTGAAACATTTTAAGCCAATAATTTCTGTTCCGTCCTGAGACTTGGTAAGTCTACGGAACGGCACCGGTAACAACATCCTAACTCTACTTGTATAATTATGTGGTATTTCTCGCTGAAATCTATTAATATTTTGTTTTATATAACATACACACGCTAAGATAAACACACATGGAAATGTAAGTACTTATTTCTAATTTAACAAAACATTGATTTGCGAAGTCGATCTAATCGACCTAATTTCTCAGTGGGAATATCTCTTATACCGGATTCAACCTTTGCGGTTTTCTATACCAGCAAATCTTTTTTAGCATTTAATTACTAAAAACAGCTTGCATGCATGATTGATGCCACGCCCCGCTATAATGGAATTAGTAATCGAATTTCACTTTGATCTAACCAATCACATATTGCACTTGCAGGTTGCACCATATCATTTCCAAAAGGAAATGATCTCTTACAGCCCGTTGTCTTAACCAATCGATCATCTGTGTACAATTTTGCAATTCCAACTGGAAACAACCTAATCTATGGGGACTTAGAACCTATTAGTTTACTATATTCGCCTTCTAATAATCACATCGAAGGAAGTACGTATGTTGCCCCTAGTACCTATTAGTTGCAAACACTCCCTGATTACAGCTTACACCAATTTAACATCGTTCTTGTGTTCCGGTGGTGAAACGTTAAGATCGAAGATTAGAACTAGCGATTTTGAAAGTATTAACTGTAAGTCGTACGTCAAGGCTGGCATATCAGTGACACGTACGAAATGCGGAAGAAATTTGGGAAATATTATCAATATTGGCTATCAGGTTTCGAAGAAGCAATTTCTCACGTTAATAACAACTTGTTATGACAGTTCCAACGGAAATGCACTGTACGCAAACCACACAGTCTATGGACAGGCATATCCAGGTAAATACACTAGCGGATTCACACAGAAATGCTAACCAATCATATTACAGCTTTCTCACAACAATCGTTTCGACCACCGTTCTCTGAAGTGGGCTTGCCTTATGATTTAAAAGCTAACGAACTTTACAAACAAAAAAATCAAAAGCAAGTGCTAGCAGTTCTTCTAGGATCTGCCCCTGCCGCCAACCAGTATTACACCAGTAGCCAATTTTTAGCAAGAGGTCACCTAGCTCCCGACGCGGATTTTGTTTACGCTCCTTTACAATTCGCCACATATTTTTATGTTAACATCTGTCCTCAGTGGCAAAGCATTAACGCCGGAAATTGGTTAGCAATAGAATCAATGGTGAGGAAAACATCGGGAAAGATCAAGCAACCACTGCAGGTATTTACGGGGACACACGATAGATTGACCTTACCGGATGTTAATGGAAATCCTGTGGAAGTTTATTTAGAAAAATCGGGACGCATTCCCGTTCCTAAGTATTTGTGGAAAATTGTATATAACGAGAGAACCAGAGAGGGAATAGCATTTGTAGCTATTAATAACCCATTCCTAGATGAGGTTTATGAGGACGATTTGTTGTGCACGGACATTTGCGACGAATACAATTGGAGTCGTGCCAACTTTGGAGTAATCAAGAAGGGGTACGTTTTCTGTTGTAACGTAATGGATTTGAAAAGAGTCGTTACCACCATTCCTTACCTTCGTTTAGAAGGTATATTGCGAGCATAGGCTTACGTGTATTTAAATGGTTTCTTGAATAAACTTTCGAGCCATAATAGCATTAAATGATTGTGTTATTCATTTATTACTCAAACCCTTCTGCGATGATACCAGATTCTTCTCATTTATATCATTTGGATAGAAATGTCAAAACAACAGACCTTACACCAAAGTATTGGTGGATCCATGATTGTTTGGGATGTAGATTGTTCCAATTATTGAAATTGGGAAAGACAAATACAACAATTAGAATAACTTACACCAAAGATCTTTTCTTAATAGGAGTAGCAAGCTTTAGATCGTAATGGTTTTACTAAATAAACTTTGACTTGTTCCCAATGTGCTCTTATGAAGTGTGCATTTTTTTCTCATATCTATGGTACGATGGTAGATATTCTTTGGTATGATCTTTCTAGTGACGTTAATTTATGAGCAGGGAATCTAACAACAAACAAATGAAATTCTCTAAAAAATACAAACGCGTTTACACAATATTCTTCGCTGATTATATTAACACCATTGAATTGTGGCTTACTTCCGAATATCTCCAGAAAATAACCCCAGCATGCGCAGCGAGCTTTCCGGAAAAATTGGGTAAGACTTTCCCGTTGTGAATGCGGTTAGAATTTCAGTTTACGCATGCGCGATGAAACTTGCTCAAAATTTAGAGATTTATCAGACAAGATTCCAATAAACGCAGTACTGCTGTGAGAGAAATATCTCCCATCATTCGACATTGTTTAGAATTCTAATTACTAATTCCGAATACCGGAACATGGAGAAACAAGTTTTTATTTTTTTAAAACCTTTTTTTCCACAAAATACCTATACATTAAGTATACTGTTGGTCTCCATGTGAGAAGTTATAATAAAAATAATAATAATTTTACATGGACGATCTTAAATTATACTCTTCCACAAGCATAAAACTTAATCACCTTCTACACATCACCGAAACATTTTCACGTGACATACAAATGGACTTTGGAATCGATAATTGTAAAACACAATACATCACAGCTGGTAAAAGACACCTTTTTGTATTATGAGCTCGAACAGGGTAATTTTATAAATGCCATGGACGAGAATGAAACTTATAAGTATCTTGGTTTTCAGTAAAACACACACATTAAACATACGAGTATAAAACAAACACTTGTCACACAATACCTACAAAGAGTACGCAGTATACTTAAAGAAAATTACACGGTAGAAATACTTGTACAATCAAAGCTATTAACACTTATGTCACACCAGTACTTACATACTCTGTTGGGATTATACCTTGGACAAATACAGATTTAGAGCAAATACAGAGAAACACTCTAACACCATTAACAAAAACCACATACAACGCCCTCAGCCCTCACTCCTCTACTATACGACTTTACTTTCCTCGTTCGGAAGGAGGTAGAGGACTTACAGACATAAAACTATTGCACCAAACAAATACACAATTTATGATAATACTTTTATAACAAATCATATACTTCAGTCCTATACAAAACAGTAACGTATGCAGACAACGCACCATATTAGTACACTGCTCTACCTATGAAACCGTCCTCACCAAAAACAAAGTGTCTGTGTGCAACCTCCTTCGTACTCTCCCGATTTGGCTGCGTATGACTTTTCCTAGTTGCAAAAATTAAATCGGTGCTGAAAGGATCACAATTCTCTAGGGGCGGAGCTGCTTTATATTTTGATATACTCGTAGATGTATCTGAGCAGTATTGCGCCCAACAATGAATAATTCGAATGGAGTGCTGCTATTTAATAGCCAAACTCAGCAGTTTCAAAAACAAACGAAGATTATAGATTTTCTCAATCACAAGTGATGCAGAACGCATGTCTACATTTTTAGCACCCGCAGGTCAGTAAGGGAGGTATCGCGTTTGGGTACAAAATAACCCCCCACCGAAATACACGTTTTGTAGCAGCAGGAATCCGAATCAAACAAAATCTTGATAATGTTGGTCTGGCTGTCGGTTTGTCGATCCGTCTGTACTCTCATTTCCGGCTAAACGGCTGAACCGATTGGAAACAAATTTAATACACATATTCTTACACATAAAAGGGCAGAATCGCGCATGCCCAGGTGTGCGGGTGTTATCTCTGGTAGCTACAGCGAATTTTTTGGGATGGCTTTAAACTAAAAGTCATCATATGATGAAAACATGAACAAATTATACCACACAAGCCGAAAGGAAACACCTGTGGTACGGTGCACAGTTCTTCTCCCGATTCACCAAAACAAAGAGCGTTAATTCAAAGCAACTCTGACTAGGTTATTGCTTGTTCCTATACAAGATGGGTGTTCTGCACATTGTAGATTAGTACGATGCATAATTTTAAATTGTATGGCGGAATAGTGTCTCCATCTTTCCGTACCCATCGGCATCGTTTGCGTGGTCTTTTAAAAGAGCTTGCGATCCCCTATATAGACCCACGTTCGATTATGGGTAAGTAATATAGTGTTTGCTTTAGTTTGTCCAAGGCACAACGCTCGTACTTTCTTGAGTTGGTAAATTAGAGTTATTTACCACCCTACCCCTATACTTAAATTTGAATTTATTGTGTCTGAACAATTGTGCATTACCAATACAACAGAGAATCGCTCTACTGGCGCATGTAATTATGAATTAATTCACGAGCATGGGAACTGTCCCATGTCCGCACTTACCTTATCTCCAAGAACGTCGTTAAATATTACTGCTTCCTTTCCTATAAGATTACTATAATCTAACGTTTAAGCCGCCACGATTATATAAAAATCTGTATATTAGATAATTTAAAAAGTATATGGTATCTGTTTGAGTTACTCAACACTACGATAGTGGTACAGCCTCGGGTACAGCTTCAATTAGTACGCACCGCCAAAGGTCACGTGACCATAATCTCTTTGAAATTTTGAAGTATTTATGATTTCTTTCGTATATGGTTAGGTAATTGTCTTGGTTTACGATTCAAATAGATTTGGAGTCGCTGCATAGTGTTTCGCTGGTTGGCATCGGGAGGGCGAGTTGTGACTTCTTCATTCTTCAAGTTCAAAAATCTTAAGAAAATAATATACTCTTTGTTTAAATTTAACAGGGCCGAAGTCAGACTTTTAAGACTAAACGTAACAAAAATACAAGCTATTTCCCAGCATCTCAGCTAACAAAATTTACACGGGAAGCATTAAAAATAACACAAATACACATGCATAATGGTCAATGCATTGAAAGTGATCGCTGATCACAATTGCATCATCTAAAAGTATTTAACACAAGACAAAAAAAATGCATGAAGCGTTTTCTGATTTTTCACACATCTGTAATAAGTCAACTTATGTCCGTGGCTTTCGGAGAATGTTGTGTTAGGTTGACTTTTGAACAGAAGTAACCTGATTCGCACTTGACACTTCCAGAGATGATTCCAATAATTTTTAAAAATCAAGAATACCCTTTTCGCTGAACTTCTACTAGTCCTTTTGTTTCAGATTCGGTAACAGTAGTAAGCAGTTAGGTTAGTTAGTTACAAGGTATCTACTCGCAATTGTCGAGTTTTGATCTATGCAGATGCCCAAACATTTTTGGAAGATCTGCAGAGAGGTAGCTATTGCGCTATCATTGTTGCGGATGTTACCAGCAAGTCATCAAAACAGAACAACTATGTTTTGTCATAGTTAAAAAATAAACGATTCAGATTTAAACCAGTTATACTTTGTTTCACTGGTGCTGAACCTGACGTCATAAATGTGATTCTCTCTTCATTACATTTAAATCGATTGAGACAAAAAAATTACGCCATTAACGTAAGTCGTGACAAACAAAACAAATTATTGATCTGTCAATAATATCAATCCGTCAAACGATTTTCGTTAAGGACAGATTTCCAGTGTGCCTTTTGATTAGGTAGTTTGTGTCAAAAGTGAAGTTGATGATATTCATCAAAGTTGAAAACGCTTAGGCAAGTCCACAGTGCAGCAAATCCGTTAACAGACAAGTATTTTAAAAATTTTACATAATGGTTCGATTCGCTCATATCATGAATTTAGGTCATTACCGGGGTAAATAGGTAAATATGACGAACCGATACACAGAAGGTGAGCAAAGTTTGATTTTGAAGTTGATTCAGTACTTCCAAAGGGAAAAAGAAGCAGGCAAAACTTTATTACCCGTAAGCGCAGTATATGATGTAAGTGTTTCCTATGCGTTTGCTATAATTATATGCTTACTTAATCACAGAGGGTTTGTGCTGCTCTGGGTGTATCGTTGTCGACGACTGTAAAAAGAATTAGTACAAGAGGTGTTAAAAAAGATGACGATTACAAATCGCAAAAAAGTGTGGCTATTAGTTTATCTCACGGACCTCCGCTGCATGAAATACATGAACATGTAATAAGGACACGGATTTATGCAATGTATGCCACAGGTAAATAACATTCTTTATGTTCTAAGGGAAGATTTGCTTCAAATGAAGAGGTTCGCTAGAACACTTATTGAATTGATTTTATAGGTGAGAATGTGTTACACTCCGTTCTTTACACAGTAATCTTCAACGACTTGATGGCATAGAAATATCTGCTACCTCTTTGTCCCGCAGTTTGAAGAAACTGAAATTCACGTGGCGGAGATGCACCGTTTCTATAGATTATTTTTAATGGAACAGCCCTATGTAGCTCAAAGAAGACTACAATTTTTGAGGGACTTTAAACACAACGAAACTTCACTCTTTCCATTACGACCTGTGGTTTTAGACGAAACCTGGATATACAGTAAAGGGTCTTTTAGAAGAAGCTGGCAAGATGGTACTCTCAAAACAGTTAGAAAAAAAAGTAGTGAAGGGGTCCGGTATATAATACTCCATGCAGGATCAGAAGATGGATTTGTACCACACGCAAGTCTAATTTTTAAATCTGGTAGCAAGTCCGGAGACTATCATGACTCCATGAATTGCCTTAACTTTGAGAAGTGGTTTGAACAACAATTGCTCCCGAACTTGGATGAACCTTCTCTTATAATTATGGACAACGCTTCTTACCATTCAGGATTGGTAGAAA